GACTCCTTCAGTCTTTCTCCTTCAATAACTGCTAATATTGATCAGGGGACTGCGTCAACTCCTACACGCCAGGGATCCAACAACAATCGGCGATCAAATGCGCCCAAAAACAACAATCTCAATCAACAAAGTCGCAATCAAGCATGGCGCAATAATCAGCAGCCCAAGCGCAACAATCAGCAACAACAACCTCCTAACAACAATATTTACTGCCAGCTTTGTGATGGTAGAGGACATACTGCTCATGTATGTCTGACACCGTCTCACAATCATTTTCAAGCTCGCGCTAATTATGTTGTACGCTTCCAAAATCAGCAAGCTCCGTGGATCATTGATAGTGGTGCAACACATCATGTTGCCTCGGACACTCAAAGTCTAGCCACTATGCAAGACTACCATGGTTCGGAAGATATAGTCACGGGCAATGGTAATACCATTCCAATCTCCCATACTGGTAATGTGAACATTAATGCATCAAATCACAAATTCTATCTCCAAAATGTTCTCTGCTCTCCAGCCATTAAAAACAATCTACTCTCTGTCTCTAAGTTTTGTCAAGACAATAACACCTCTATTGAATTCTTTTCTCGTGTTTATTTTGTGAAGGATCTGACTATGGGGGCGTCATTGGTTTGCGGATGGACTAGAAATGGGTTGTATGAGTGGCCACAGGGTGATGTTGAAGGTCCTCTTAAATGCAATATTGTTGTCCCATATCACCTGTGGCATCGACGACTAGGCCACCCTAATCATCGTGCTCTAAATAAATTTCTGCTTGATTTTTCCATTCCAGTTTCTGATTCAAAAACTGGTACTATCTGTAATTGATGTTATTCCAATAAAAGCCATAGGATGCCTTTCTCAAAAACTTCTTAGCACAGTGATAAGAAATTACATTTAATTTATAGTGATTTGTGGGGACCGTCTCTGGTATTATCAATTGACAAAAAACGATACTACGTTTTATTTGTTGATCAATTTTCAAAATATATGTGGTTGTTCACGCTCAAAGCTAAAACAGAAGTTTTGAAAATCTTCCAAACCTTACATCCCCTGCTTGAAAGACATTTTCACACAAAAATATTATCCTTGTACACTGATGGTGGTGGTGAATTTCAAAAATTAGATTCCGATTTAAAAACACATGGAATTGAACACTTAGTGTCGCCCCCATACTCACCCCAACGGGTAGCCTTAGTTGAACGCCGATATCGGTATGTCACTGAGACAGCCCGCACCTTGTTACACCAAGCATCCTTACCTTCAACTTTTTGGAGTTATGCATGTCATCAAACAATTTATTTGACCAATAGGATAATTACACCAAATTTACAAAATAAATTACCTTTTGAAATTCTATCTCAAACAGTGCCTAATTACAATTCCATCAAAGTTTTTGGATGCTTATGCTATCCATGGCTTAAACCTTATTCTAGTAATAAACTAGAACCTCGATCTACATCATGTGCTTATTTAGGATTTTCTAATAAATTTTATAGCCATCAATGTTTTGATCCAGTTAATTCCAAAATATATGTATCCGGGGATGTAGTTTTTCTAGAAGACAATTTTCCTTTTCAAAATATTTTTTCAGATTTTAGAAGTAAGGATAATGTGGCTTGGGATAATATTTCTATTGAACAACCAGCCAAAGAGGATAATAATTCAACTTTAAATTCCTTTTATCAGCTTCCACCACCGGTGACTACATTGCCCATGGTCACTCAATGCCCACAAGCTATCACATCTGCTTCGATGGTGTCTCTCAACAATCAGGTAATATTCCTTCTCCTCATACCTCGACTCCTACTTCTCCACCTTCCACACAAGCTCCACAACAACAGAGAACTACTTCTCCTCCTTCAATCTTGGCACCTCAAGTTTTGCCCTCACAACCAATTATCACGTATCAAAGACAAGAAAGACCATCCACTCCTAGCCAAAATCTAGGTCCGTCCCACTCTACATCTGCTTCGGCACTACAATAGCCGCAAACAACTTCTTCCCCACCTCGACCAGAATTCTCTCAGCCTATTCAGTCAGACCCACCAACCCAAACCCAATCAAACCATCCAGCCACCAAAGTGCACCCGATGATCACTCGATCACAAACTACATCAATTTCTCACAACCACTACATCATCTCAAAAAATTCCCACAACCCATAAGCAAGCCAAGCTAATTCCCCACTAGAATTCAGCAATGCAAGCCGAATTTGATGCTCATGTTCGCAACCAGACTTGGGATTTGGTTCCATGTGACTCTTCCAAAAACTTAGTGGATTGTAAGTGGCTATTCCGAATTAAGTATAAACCTGACGGTTCTGTTGACAAGTATAAGGCTCGTTTGGTTGCCAAGGGATTTACTCAGTGTCCTGGACTTGATTACCATTCCACCTTCAGTCCAGTAGTCAAGCCTGCTACTGTGCGTCGTGTCCTAACTATAGCCACTCAACTTGATTAGCATGTTCATCAGCTGGATGTTAACAATCCTTCTTGTAAGGTAGTCTTGATCAAGAAGTTTATATGTGGCAGCCACCGGGATTTGAAAGTTCTGAGAATCCTACCCATGTATGTCGTCTTCAAAAGGCAATTTATGGCCTCAAGCAAGCTCCTCGTGCTTGGTATACTGAACTCAAAAACTATCTGTTTACTTTGTTTTTTTTTAAATCCCGATCTGATTCCTCGCTCTTCATTTTGCATAAATATGGGTTCACTGTGTACATTTTGGTCTATGTTGATGATATTTTAGTGACTGGTAATCACCAACGAGGTATTCATTGTATCATTGAGGCTCTCTCAAAATGTTTTTCACTGAAGGATTTAGGACCTCTACATTACTTTCTTGGTGTTGAGGTAATTCGTTCCTCTACTAGTCTCTTTCTCTCTAAAAAAAGTACACTATGTACCTACTTCATGAGGTTGCGATGGATAATTGCAAAGGTGTTTCTACACCCATGACATCTACTGTTGTTTTTGACCCCTCACCCGATGATCATCTAGTTGATGGTTCTTTTTACCGACGCATTATTGGTAAGCTTCATTACCTTTCTTTCACTCATCCCGATATAGCTTATGCTGTCAGCAAGTTGTCACAGGCTACGCATCAACCGCTTATGTCATATTGGGTTGCTCTTAAGCGGCTTCTCCGCTATCCCTTCTCCGCTATCTCCGTTCCACTACTTCATATACTGTACACATTGCCAAAGAGAGTGACCATATACTGCTTGCTTACTCTAATTCAGACTGGGCGGGAAATCCTCATGATCGCACCTCCACCACTGGTTATGTTATCTATCTTGGTCGTTTTCCTATTTCATGGTCTTCGAAGAAGCAACATTCAGTTTCTCGTTCTTCTACAGAGGCTGAATATCGGGCAGTTGCAGTTGCTGTTTCCGAGACTAATTGGCTCACCCATCTTCTTCAAGAGCTTCAGTTTCCTTTAACTGTTGTTTCGAGAGTTCTCTGTGACAATGTCAGCACCACTTATATTTGTATCAATCCTGCTTTCCATAGCCGCATGAAGCATGTGGTTATCGACTTCCACTTTGTCCGTGAGTAGGTTTAGCACAAACAGCTTGAAGTTACCCCATTTACATGTTGCGGATCAAGTTGCGAATCTTCTTACAAAGCCTCTTCCACAAGCAGTTTTCAATAAACATTTTTCCAAGTTGGGCGTCGTAGACCTCGATGCCAACTTGCGGGGGCGTAGTAACGGCAGTAGCAAGTTATCTCCTTCTGTATAGGACTTTGTTATTTTGTTTTTTAATATCTCTTTTGGTGCTTATCAGATTCCTTTTGTTTAGGATTGTTATTCACATAGGTTTCTCTATATCCTAGATTCTCTCTGAGTTGTTACATTATTCACAACTTTTATGTACTACACTTGGCTATATAAAGCTAACCTTATAATCAATATAACATAAGTTCTTCTTCTGCCTTTATTGCTCTTTAACTCTTTCTTCTCTCTTTTCTCTACAGTTAATTTCCCTACAAACAACAAGTTGCTGTCTTTTCTTCTTTTTCGTTCATAACTTGTTGATCGTTATTTAAAATTTGTTGATTGTGTTCTCTCTATTCATTTTTAATTTATTTGGTATGATGATAATATAAGTTGAGCTTAAATGAGGAAGTGGGGATTCATAATGCCGACCCCAACTTGTTTAAGACTTAGGCATATTTGTTGTAGTTTATGTTCCCTCTAATAGAGGAAGACTTTAATTCTGGAAAGCTTTCACATTGCTAAAACAGTTTCTTAGGACGGTACATGGCACGACTCAAGTCATTCATGTGCCTGCTAAATAAATAATATTTACTCCCTCAGTCACATTCTATGTGACATACTTTCATTTTTAGTTTGTCCCAAAAAATGGCACCTTTACATATTTAGAAAACATTTTAACATTTCTTTAAACTCCATGTCCGATCAAACGGTACCACATAAATTGGGACGGAGGAAGTATTTATTTTTTACTTTATATTCTCACACTTCATATTAACAGGGACCACCAGATCATTTTAGTCCTCGCTGATCCATTAGCAGGATTATCTTATTTAGTGTCTTAACCCAAGACATTTTGGTACATTATGTGTTTACACTATGGGCACAACTTGCATTCTCTGATACCACTGGCTTCAACTCCTAACAGAACTACTTTCTCATCTGATTTTTTCATATGGTTCATCCGGAGTAATAGAATTGATGAATGGAAAACTTAATAACAACAGAGTTTATTCTCCATCAATACTTAGATATCCTCATAAAGTGCATTTCACCTCTGTTCAGATTACCCTTACATTCTGTGTGTAGAAACTCAGACATTAATGCATCTCGTTGTTCAAATGTAAGGAAGCATTTGCACAATAAACCGATCATTTTCAGTCCATTAATCGGACAAACAAATGAAAGAAGCATATATATATATATATATACTACAAAAAATTGTTTTAACAAAAAATTGAAGATATCACACACAGTGGCAGCGTTAGAATCAATATGTATTAGAAATACACAAATACCTTGGATAGAAAAGCATTATAAGCAAGCAAATAATTGCTATCAGGATGATCCTTTGGGCCCACTCTCTCATCCACCCAGAAAACATGCCACTTCGACCAGTCTATTGAATCAATATATGGTGGCTCCATCAATTTCCTGCACAATTGCAACAAATACAAGCATTCAATTAACTTAAACACCAAAACCATCCCAAAGAGATTAACAACGAGAAGAATAAACAATTACCCAAGAGACTTGATAAGTGAACCACCGGAAACAACAACAGAAAAAGAACCTCTCTCTTTGCAAAACTTCTCCGATAAATCAGCTGTGTACTTCGCTAGAGACACGGCACGTTCCTCTTCAATATCAAACACTTCAACTTTCCCTTTACTTTTACCTATCACAGTCTCAGCCACTGATGATTTAGTTCTAAACTGAGATCTCGGGGAGTTTCTACTCAATACTGAGATTCTCCTATGTGAGCGCGAGCAAAAAAGTGGCTTGCCAATTATAGATGTAGATGTCAACGGCAGAGATTGGCGGAGAGGAGAGAATTGGGTAGGTGATATGTGCAAGTTAGCAGAGAGAGCGCGAGAAGAAGAGTCTAACCGTAGTGTGCACTCTGTCATCTTATATAGGGACGGAGAGTGAGAAAAGACTGGTCCAACGGCGACTGCGAAAGAAAGAGCTTAACGTGCTGGAGCTTTTATGGTAGGTGAGAACCTAGGGCGTGGCATTCAATGAAAGGGCAGGGATCACTGACAGACATGTGTGCTGTAGTCGTTACTAGCATTATTTTTTTTGTTTGTAAATAAGTAACTTTATTACCAAGGCAAAATATGTACAATTATAACAAAAATCCCTTAGATGGTACCAATCTACCTCCAGAAACCTGCTAAACATTTATCTACTATCCCCTCATCGCTTATTATTATCTATTCAATACTAAGAAAATCTTCAGAGTCATTACTACTAAAATATCAATATTATCCTCCTCCAGGACAATTTTCAGGGATAGAAATTTATGGATTCCAGTTGCTTTGTAATCTTCTTATTGTGGCTCCCTCGACAGTGTATATCTTGCATTATTAGCCTGCTAAGATTATCAACAGTTATGACTAGCATTATTTAATACAAAATTAATAAATATAAGTCATAAGATACTCTATATTTAATGGAATATAAAAATTAAGAAATATAAGTCATAAGATACTCTATATTTAATGGAATATACTTTTATTTTAATTATTATAAATTAATATAATTTGATGTAACTATTGAATAGGTAAATTTTCAGTAGAAGCTCTTCAAAAAAAGTACCTCAGCGTTCTTATTTGAGAATGATTCTTAAAATTACAAAAAGTTACTGAAGATATTACAAAAGTAGTATAAGCATTGATCAAACTAAAGATACTTATAAGTAAAAAGTTTAAAAATTATAAATGACTAACTTATGATTTTTTGTATGATTGGCTTATAAATACTTTAATTATAATATGCATATAATAAGCCAAAAAGTGCTTATAAGTTGGTTAAACTAACTTTTAATGTACACATATAATAGAGGATTGCGAAAAAAATTAGGCAAAATACATATTTTACCCATCGATCTTGTACTCAAATCTCTTTTACACACCTGTTAAATACGAGAATAATATTACACACCAAAACTTTTAAAAGTGTGTCAATTACACACCTCTTTTTCCATGTGTCACACGCGTGTATTACACATAAAAGAGGTGCGTGAAAACTACAAAATTCATCTGAAATTAAGTTTTTTTATTTTTTCCCTTTTAACTATTTTCTGTACAAATTAAAGAAAAAAATATAACACATGTCTTCTTCCCCAACCCACAACCCAG